CCAATTACATGCTGATGAATCAATCAAATGAACTAACCCAATTACGTGCTGGTGAATCAATCAAATGAACTAAGTCAATTACATGCTGGTGAATCATTCAAAGGAACTAATCCATTACGTGCTGGTGAATCAATCAAAAGAACTAACCCAATTACATGCTGATGAATCAATCAAATGAACTAACCCAATTACGTGCTGGTGAATCAATCAAACGAACTAAGTCAATTACATGCTGGTGAATCAATCAAATGAACTAACCCAATTACATGCTGGTGAATCAATCAAATGAACTAACTCAATTACGTGCTGGTGAATCAATCAAATGAACTAATCCAATTACGTGCTGGTGAATCAATCAAATGAACTAATTACATGCTGGTGAAACAATCAAATGAACTAACGCAATTACATGCTGATGAATCAATCAATCAAATGAACTAACCCAATTACATGCTGATGAATCAATCAATCAAATGAACTAACTCAATTACATGCTGATGAATCAATCAAATGAACTAACCAAATTACATGCTGGTAAATAAATCAAATGAACTAACACAATTACATGCTGATGAATCAATCAATCAAATGAACTAACTCAATTACATGCTGATGAATCAATCAAATGAACTAACCAAATTACATGCTGGTAAATAAATCAAATGAACTAACACAATTACATGCTGGTAAATCAATCAAATGAACTAGCCCAATTACATGCTGGTGAATCAATCAAATGAACGAATCCAATTACATGCTGGTGAATCAATCAAATGAACTAACCCAATTACATGCTGGTGAATCAATCAAATGAACTAACCCGACTACATGCTGGTGAATCAATCAAATGAACTAACCCAATTACATGCTGGTGAATCAATCAAATGAACTAACCCAATTACATGCTGGTGAATCAATCAAATGAACTAACCCAATTACATGCTGGTGAATCAATCAAATGAACTAACCCAATTACATGCTGGTGTATCAATCAAATGAACCAAT